TTTTCTTTATAATTTCTATTTGCAAAATTTCTTTCTATTAAAACCTTCTGTACATCTATTTGAATAGATTTATCTCTACAAGAATAAAAAGAATAATTATAATTTTATAGATAATAATCAATATATAAATAAGAAAGATTAAAAGAATTTTTTTTATATATCAAAATAATAAAGAAATTATAATTTTATAAACAATAAAAAGGAATTAAATAAAGATTAAATTATTAAAACAATATAACAAAAAATATCTTTCTTCTACCTTAATAGCTTTAAAGCAAGTCAAAGAGGAAGCTTTTATAGATACCAATAATTATAATTAGATAAGATATAGAAGCAAAAACTAAATAGTTTAAACCAAAATATTAGTCAAATCCTTAATCAATAATAATAATAAGTATATATAGAATAATTATAAGTCAAAAGACAAAACGACTTTTAGTTATAATATATGTAATAACAAGACCGAGTTTGTATTCAATCGCTTATAATTATTTACAAATTATTGAAAGCTTTGTTTTTATTTATATTATAATAAGTTAATATTATTACTCTAATTTGTCTCTCTATATTATAATTTTAATTATGTAATACTCTATATTTTTCCGAGTAAGGATAATAAAAAATATTTTTTTCGAAATATAATTCCTTAACTTCTTTTACAAATCAAATTATTAAAAAAGAATTAATTTTATTAAAAACTAATAAAATTATAATTTATTTCTATTATATTGTTATATTCAGTAATAGCTATTTGGTATTAAAAAAACATTTTGTAAGTTTTTTCAAAAAGTAAGTGTTTATATTTATACTTATTAATAAAATAAAGCAAACAACAAATTTAATCAAATAATTAGTTAGAAACTCGATAGTATATACTATTTCCCTTGTTGGAGATATAGTTATGTATGTAGTCTATATAAATCTAATTATCTTTCCGAATATATTATTCCTGCTATAATATTGTTTTTTTTTGGTAATCTTTTATTTAGAGATTCCAGTTTATTAATATTAATAAAGCTAATGCTTTTATAATAGGGTGTATTGAATTTATAATCAGATTGATTTTAATATAAGACTTTTATAATCTTCTTTTCAGTAATTTTATATCTATTATTTTTAATATTATTAAAGTAATATATTATTACAATCAATTTATTAATAAACTTCTTTTTATAATTATCAATATAATTAATTAAAGGATTATATTCTTCCTTTAAATTCTATTAAAGAATATAATAAAATAAATATATTTAATAAATAAATCAAAGATTGATTTTATTTTCGAAATTATTATCCTTGGTAATTATAATTGTATTTATTAAATAAACTAATTATATATCGAAAATGAATAAATAAAAAACTTTATTTATATTTTTTATTAGAATTTAATTTATTATTCGCCTCATTAGAGTTATAACTATTCCTACATTAGAACTCCTTCTTTTTGATAGACTATTTACTTTATATAACAAAAGAAACAGCTGTTCTCTTTTTTATAAGCTAAATAAAAGAATAAGTTAATAAAGTAAATACAGAAAAAACTATAAACAATTTACTACTATATACATATTCTCCTATTATTGAATCTATACTGATAACAGCTTACCCTTACTATTATATTTTCTTTTTGAAATTGAAAATATATTAATCGAAAAATATAAAAGAATTGATTAATTAAAAAAAGATTTAAAAAAAAAAGGGAATTCGATTGACCTATATACTTTGAAGGATTCGATTAATTGTTAGACTATAGAACAATTTCCTTTACTTTGTATATATCTTTTTATTATAAAAAAGAAAAATCTATATATATATTTGTTTATTATATTATTCTAATCAAATAATAATAATACTATCTTGCAATTATCGATTTAATAATTAAAATAAATAATTATGAAGTTTGAGGGTAAGCTTTTTCGAAAGAAGGGATAGTATTATAAATCAACATTCAATCATAATTACAATTGTTTATATATATATATGTGTATATATATAATTATATATATATAATTGATATATAGGTATACTCAATAAATACTTTACTTTCGATTTTATAATTATAGATTCTAAGGATAAATTGTACCCTGCTTTTATAGTTCTTCTAAGGCAAAGCGTTATAAATAAAACTTTTCAAATTTTCAAAATTTGATTCAATTAGATATAAATCGGGAAAATATGATAAAAGATATTGAATGAGAATATTATATTTTATTATTACTTTTTTAATCTTATTTATAAAAATATAATATATAGATATATTATCTATTAAAATGATAAATCTTAAATTAGAATATAGATTATAAAGAAATAGAATATTTTCAATAATGAAATTAGAGAAAAGAATAGTATTAAGTATATTTAGAAAGGTAATTAATATAATATATCTTTTAATTATATATATTAATAATATAAAGACTTTTATATAATTTGTTAATTATTTCTTTATTTTTGTTTTAATTTCCTTTTTATCATATCTATATCTTTGATTACCTATATACTTATTATTATCAAATTTATTAATATATACAATCTGATTTTATTGAAAAAGCTATATTTTATTTATTTAATTATTTCTAAGCTTAGTATTTCTTTAAATTGCTTTTATAATTAATTACTTATAAATGAAATTAATTCTTTTAAGTATATTATATATTATTATTTTACATATATTTATATCAAAAACCTTATAAAAAAAATCTCTAATTTTGTTTTAATATAATTATAATAATTTGTTATATACCTCTTTTATTGCTTTATCTATATTAAAAGTAACAATTCTAATAAGCTCTTCTAACAGCTTTTTAATTATCTCCCTTTTACGAATATATTTCAAGTAATTTCTAATAGTTCTTATAATAATATAATAGATTGAAGTAATCATTTCATAATAATTGAGAGTAATAAATCTCTTGTAATACTTTAATATATACTCAATTGTTTATATATTATTGAAATAAAGGTGGGCAGATATTTTGTAATCTTTATATATAATCAGATTAATAAACTAAACTCTAATTTCAATTTGATATATTTATTATATTGATTGAAAGCTTGATTATAAAGTTATTATTAATTTATATAGATATTGAATTATTAAATTATTTTTTGAAGTGTTTTAATTGAAGTACTAAAATTTAAAGTTTTGGAAATACGTTATTAAATTGGGTGTAAGGGTTAACCTTACTATACTATTCAGAGGTTAGCGTATTTACCATAACTTCCTCTCATGAGTGAATCTCTTCTTTTCTTTTCGTCGTGACAAAACTCATCAATGTTCTATAATATACAGTTTGATATTGGTATCCCTACTTGATCTCTGAATTCAATCATGTTGGCTCCGGATCACCGATGTTTGATCATCATAATTGTTACTATGATGGTCTTGTCGATCAATCTCTAGTCTCGGGCTGCAGTAAAGCTCTTGCACAAGGAGGGGTGCATATTGCACCATCCGTCGCCCAGGATATCAATACATAGTTTTCTCCCACGAGAAATCACGTCTTACGCAACCCAGAGTTTGGTTAAATTACCGACGGAAGTTTTTTTGTAGTTCCGATATGATGCGAGTAAAGAAGTGCTCATATTGACGTTAGTGAGTATCAGTATGGCTACTTGAGAGCGTAGCTATCTAGTATTTCTTTCCATTTCCATTTCATTACTTTTGTCCTTTATTTTTCGTCTTTCTCCTCTGATCAAGTGTAATTCACATATTCTACTACCTCTACATATAAGCATGTCTACTACCATTACAATCAGCAGCAATAGTCCAATTGTCATTCGCCATGATGGACCCAATGGCCATGCGAATGGACTTACCAATGGATATGTTAATGGCGACAGTCAGAACAGATTCATTGAATATGCCAATAGTGTCACTACGAATGGACACAATACACATTTCACTGCCGAACCGGGACTTAACGATGCACCAGATCGTGTAAAGTTCGCTTATTGGGTCCCTAACGTTTCCGGTGGTTTAGTTATATCGAAAATTCCGCAGAGAACAAGGTATTCTTTATGTTCCCCTGAAAGATTTCTTTCACTAACGTTTGATAGTTGGGACTACGAATCGAATGTGAGATATGCGCAGACTGCCGAGGAGGTTGGATTCGAATATGCTCTCACGCAAATTCGATTCATGGCAGGATATGGAGCTGTGAGATTCTTGAATACATTATTGGCACACAAACTGATATTGATTGTTTTTAGGATAACCAACATGAATCCGTCTCCTTCTCACAAGCACTTCTCCATAATACTAAGAAACTGAATGTCATCGCGGCCTTATTACCTGGACCTTGGAATCCAGCCGTCGCCGCTAAGCAAATTGCTAGCATCGATCATTATACAAATGGAAGAATATCTGTGAATATTGTTTCCGGTTGGTTCAAGCAAGAGTTCACAAGCATTGGACAATGGTGGCTGGAGCATGCTGAGCGATACAGGCGTAGTAGGGAATTCATCGAATGTTTGAAAGGGATTTGGACTTGCCCAAAATTCTCATACAAAGGGGATTTTTACCAATTCCATGATTATCCATTGTCACCAAAGCCACTCAATTTACCCGGTCGGCCACATCCTCTCATTTTCCAAGGTGGAAATTCAATTGATGCTCGGGAAAATGGAGCATCGGTATCCGATTATTATTTTATGAATGGCAACACCCTTGAAGGATTCCAAGAGCAAATTGCCGATGTCAAAGAGCGAGCGCGGAAGCTCGGCCGTGAAGAGAAAATACATTTTGCTGTCAATGGTTTTGCTATCGTCAAAGAAACGGAAGAAGAGGCCATACAACTACTCTCCGAAATTCAAGGCAAAGCCGACAGAGAAGCTGTGAATGCCTTTTCGGATGCAACAAAACAAGCTGGCTCATCAACAGGGAATAAGAAGGGCATGTGGGCAGATAGCAAATTTGAGGATTTGGTGCAATACAACGATGGGTTTAAAACAAAATTGATCGGAACAGCTGAACAAGTGGCCGATAGAATTTTGTTGTTGAAAAGCTTAGGAATTGATATTGTTCTAATTGCATTTTTGCACTATGAGGATGATATTCAGAACTTTGGTGAAAGGGTTTTACCATTGGTTCGAAAGCTGGAGAAGGAAGGAAGAGGGAAAAATGCCGAGGATGAAATTTTAAGGACTGGAGACGTTTACCGTGCAAAAAGGTGAAGATTAAGGTGTAACGTACACTCAGAAGCTGTAAGGCCTCTTTTACTTGATTTTCTTTTGAAGCACTGGTTGACTTTTAGGAGTAGAGCCAGGACAGAGTTATGAAAGCTCTAGAGGACCTGAAGGAACCTCGACCTTTGGAATGCATGTATAGGGAGTTTGGGCTCGCTACACAGTCATCAATTGGTTCTTCTCCAAGTACTTGATCGAATTTGGAATATTTACGACCAAGTCTCTGTGTTTGGCGGAAAACTCTTTTCTCGTTGCCCAGCATTGAGGTGTTGTTGTTGGTTGTTGGAAACATACCTAGGTAGTAAAGGGACATTGTTGATTCACTCCATTGTATAGGTATATTTAGTTTGTATTAGTACCGTACGTCATGATGAAATTATAAGATGAGAATGAAAAACTTATTCGGCTAACCACTATGTAACGGGAACCAACGACTTCATCTCCGCTCCGGACACGCGAGATTTCCGATATCCGAAATTCGATGTCCGAAATATCCACCAGATGCACTCACATATACATAGGTGAGTAACTCGTAGCAGTAAACTAATTGACGTCGGACTCGTATCTCAATAACATCAATAATAATAATTCCACGTGCCACATCCCTTGGTTGAAAGTTGAAACAACCTTGGAGATCTAGAATTCGAAGCATCCAGGATGGCACGGATATTTGTTGAAATGGCTGTGCTCAGTGTGCTGTGCTGTCGGCGGGTCTGTCTGGTCTGTCTCTACGTAGGAGAAAAAACAGGCCGGAATTGACCAATGCGTGACGCCTCTCTCTACGCGTTGTTTTGGTGAGGGTGCACGTACCATTACGCAGTGGTCGATTCCGGCCTGTTTTTTCTCCTATATAGAGCCTGTCACTTTAAAGTCTTTGAACCCCCCGAGCCCCCATACGTGCATCTTCCCTGCCAAGAATCAGATGAACTTTATATTCATTCCACCTTTCTTTCACGATGAGTGATTTGTTTGAGCGTGGGCACTGGGATGGGATTTTTCGGTGAGAAAGTTTATTTTCACTTGAGATTTAGAGTTGTGAAGAGGTACTGACTGCACTGCTTATACTTTCCCATCACAATCGTATTCACAACCGTATTCACAATCACATCACGAGATAGGAAGGTCGCGAGAGCATCGCGAGGGCGACCACATCTCTCAGTGGTCATCGAGTGCGTACAAAGTCTAAACAATGGATACGATCAACCGACCACATGGAGATGGACCAGCTGGAGAGACGGTTAAAATGCGCACCGAGATTTAATCGTGGAGTATCAAGCTATCGAAAGTTTAAAATGATGGGAGAAGTCCGCTTTGGGATAAGAAGCAACGGCAAAAAGTATATTTTTCTCTCTTTCGGCTGCGGACTTGGTTCTTTGCGTAGGGGGCGATGTTGGAAAAAGCTTTTGGGGAATCACGGAGAGATCGAGACTCGTTTGGACGTGAGGCTACCTAGGTTTGTACGATATACTACTATATGTAGGTAGGTAGGTACTAGGTAGGTATGCTTAAATGACTAATGTGCGGAAGGATTTCCAAGGTTGGGTAGATTAAGGGGCAACGGGTTAGCTCGTAGGGACAGCCCTGGTGTAGGTAGATAGGTAGGTAGCTAGCTGTTTGGCGGTTGTGGCTGAAAAGAGATGGGAATTGTAGGTAGGAATCGTAGGTAGGTAGGTATGTGAGTATGTATGTATGTAGGTTTGTATGTATTGTACAATATTCTGAAAGGGAATCGAGTCAATCGACTTCGTCAGTCAGACCTGGGTACCTATGTTTGTATGGTATGCATGGAGTACCAATCGGTACGGAGTGGAAATCACATTCAACGATTAATTACTAGGGAATTAATCTATCGAGATTGATTTCTATAGTACACCAATTAATACATCAATTCATCAATTCATCAAAACACCAAAACAAAAGACCAAAGACCAAAAATCCCAACCAACACCACTCACTCACTTACTTACGTTACTCAATCATCTCGCAATTCTAAAATTACAAGAAGAAGGAATACTCAACTACCCAGGTATTACTTACTTAGATACCTTGGTACTAGTTGGTAGGTATCACAGCATGTCAGCGCTTATCACAAATTCATCCCAGAAACAATCCTGCCCCGCAAAATCATCGTTCCCACCCCTGAGAGCATCATTTCAATTATATTAATTAATTTTTAAAATATGCATCAATTTTCATCAATTCTCATCAATTCTCATTCTTATAAAAAGTATCAGCTTTCCGTTGTCTGGTTTCCTTCTCCTCTCCTTTTCCATTACTCTTCATCCCATTTTGATGCGAGATTCATTATAGAAGCTTTGGTCTTCAATACTCCCATTCTTGTCCATATATATATACATTCTTTTGAAAAGATATCTATCATTCACATACAGCCTTTACCGTCTCAATTAACTGTACATTTTCAATCAATCGATTTCGATCCCTAAAAACAAAACTCGATCAACATGGTTTTCTCAATCAAGAACTTGGCTACTGCCTCTACCCTCCTCTCCATTGCTCAAGGAGCCGTCATGGGAAAACGTGCTCTCTCGGGTCAGGCTACTACTTATGGTGGTAATACTCAAGGAGGAGCATGTTCATTCTCCACCTATACCCTTCCATCCAATATCTTTGGTACTGCCCTCTCCGATTCCAACTGGGCTACTGCTTCGGAGTGTGGTCGTTGTGTTTCGGTTACCGGTCCTTCAGGTAACTCTATCACTGCTATGGTATGTATCCTATATCCCCGAGTTCCCATCCGTCATTTCCAAAATACCAAACCCAAAACTAACACCCCTACCTCAGATCACAGACGAGTGTCCCGGCTGCGGAACCAACCACTTGGATCTCTACCCCACCGCTTTCACCTCCCTCGCTCCCCTCTCCAAAGGAATCATCGACGTCACCTGGAACTACGTCGACTGTCCCATCACCAGCCCCCTCCAACTTCACCTCAAAGAAGGTGTCTCGGCCTACTGGTTCAGCATGCAAGTCGTCAACGCCGCCGAGGGAGTTTCCCAGCTCGACGTTTCCACCGACGGCGGAAAAACCTGGCAACCAACCACCCGCACCACCTACAACTACTTCGAACACTCCGCTGGCTACGGCTCCAAAGTCAACGTCCGTGTCACCGGTTTGAGCGGAAAGACCGTCACCGTTAACAACGTCGCCGTCACTCCCGGAAACCTCGTTAGCGCAAGCGGAAACTTGGGTTCGGGCTCGGCCTCAAATTCTATTGCTTCCGATGCCGTTGTCGCCAAGGAGGCGGTTGTGGATGCTTCAACTACGAGCGCTACCCCTGTCGCGGTCGTTACACCTGCTTCTACATCTGTGGCCGAGGTTTCTACTTCTGCTGCTGTCGTCGAACCAGTTTCTTCCTCTTCCTCTTCTATCGCGGAAGTATCCACCAGCGCAGCTATCACTGTCCCATCTGCAAGCGCAACCCCATCCACCACCGAGAAAGCCACTTCCACCGCCTTGGCTCACACCACCAAAGCTAGCGCAACCCAGAGTGTTGTGTGGGTTGACTCTGATGAGTGCGAAACTAAGTAGAGTGGCTGGGTATTGCAATTGCTATGTGAGGCCGTCATTCATGCTTTGGAGCGAGAGCGAAGATTTCATGAGCTGATGAATGTGCATGTATGGATTCATGGATTGGGACATAGATTGGATATAACTCTATTTATCTGTATCTGTGTTTGTGTCTGTCTCTATGTTTGCGTTTGTGTCTATGGAGGAAATGGGAAATGGGAAATGGGAAATGGGAAATCTATTTTCATTCGTTGTATATATTCATTTATAAATTTAATAAAATGTTCGTGAAGAATTAATTGAGTGTAGAGGAATACTTACTCGGAGATGTTGTATGTATTCATGTATCTATGTATGTATCTATGTATGTATCTATGTATGTATCTATGTATCAGGAATATATAAAATATCATCTACATTAGATTTATAGCTTTCCTCTATTCGATGTACTAGTAGGTACCTAGGTAGGTATCTCGATATAAATGAAATAAACTTGTTATATACATAGGTATTTAAAGGATATTCTAAAGAAGTTTTTAAAGTAAGTAACTAAGAGAATATTGAATTGACTGATTGATTACCTTTCTTTTAAGTATAGGATTAGATGAAAAAGAGGTATTTATATATTCAGTTCAGATATAATACTATAGAGATTCACTAAACACCTAGCTGTAATTATTTAATTCATTTGATTTATTCCCGAATCTATTATATTATATTATTGACTAAGTATTTAGTAGGTATTATATCGATATACTCATTATATTATATTATTGGCTAACTACCTAGTAGGTATTATATTGATACTATGATATAGATTTTATGAATGTTTTGTTAATATTAATATTAATATTAATATTAACGCACTCTATTATTTTATTAGTATCTAGATAGATAGGTAGATATACAGAATGAATAAAATTTAGTAGGTACTTATTATTACTTTATTCCTAGTATAAAGATTCGAAATATAATAGATAGATAGATATCTCATTATTTCCTACTTATATTATGAAGTGGAGTGGAATGAAGTAGAGTAGGTTCAAAATAATCTTATACTAAAGTATTTAAAATAAAAAAAATAAAAATAAAATATATTATTAGAATTAATTTATTTTGTAAATTTTATAATCGTAGATATAATTGAGGGTTATAATCCTCTTTATCCTTAAGATTATCTATAATAAGAAGGCCTCAGCAATTCGTTAACTTTTCAGTAATTTATGATTTTTGATAATAATTCTTATAGTTTTTATTCTTTTAATAATATAAATAGATATATATAATCAAATCAAATTAATAATTATTTTGAATACTTTAGAATATCTTTATTTTTTATAGATAAAAAATCAGAAAAAATTGATCCTATTTACCAGGGAGATTTTATACCAAAAAAAAAGTTAACAAATTGCTGAAAAATTGACGAATTGCTGAGGCCCCCTCATTAGTATAATAGGGGGTAAAGAGGATCGTAACCCCGATTATATATAGTAAGATAGAGATAAAGATCGAGATGGAGATTGATTTTCTATATCTTGAATAGGTGATGTGTAATAGAGGAGAGAATGATACTATACTATGAGGTGGGAGTATGAGAAGTTTTATTAGTTTTTGTTTTAGGTTGTTGATTTTCATTTTGATTTTATATTATTGATTTTAATAGTATGGTGTAGTGTAGTGTAATATAGTAGAGTGTAGAGTATAATTTATTATGTGTTATGATTAATGAGGTTGAGTTTATATATCTAGATAGGTATTTGAAGATAGTACTTATCTTATTGGATTTCTTAAATTGGAGTGTATATGATATAGTAGTTATTATTTAGATACCCAGGTACCTATGTAGTATTAATCTTGAATATCGTCTTGAGAGCTAGGATTATATATAGAAATCTTAAAAGGAGTAATTCTTAAATAGAAACTAATATGAGTCTAGTGTTCTCGCTAAATCTATTATAGTAAAACTAAACTAAGACCGTCTGCTAAAGATAGATGAAAAAAGCTGTCGTTATTATCTCGTTAAGACGATAATAAAGATGAGAATTATTCTATATATATATATAGATATATAAAGAGATTTAGTATTTAGAAAAGATCTCCTCGTTATATCTTTACTAAGGATTAATCTTTGAAATAAGTAAATCATTTCTTTTGATTGCTTTGATGCTCGAATATAGACTTATAATAATAATACTATTGCTAAGCTACTGAGCCTTTTTTCTGTTCGTTCAGATACTCACCTACTGTAAAATTATTTGTATTACTGAGATAGTGGGGGCATGAAGGATATCTCCCCTAGCATTAGAGTGTGGTTGCCCAAGCACATACTATTGGATTCCTACGATTTTTTTAAAGAAAAATACATATTTTACGGCACGCAGGGGACAATCAATGGTAGAGAATCGACTGGGTGTTTAACTAGAGTAGTTGGAAATTGGAATTGTTACATATATTTCTCATGATGTCAATATATTGGAAAAGCATTGGTGTGGAAGCAAAGTATGTTAGACAATCAATGGCATTTGTCTAAAGATCAAGAATAAGGTACAGAAGAAGAGAATGATAACTTCCTAGCTAGAAAGTTAGAAGTAAGATGGTATATACATCGGCTCGAAGAAACACCGCAGATAATGTGTTGTTCTCGCAGTGAATCCTTTTCCCCCAACAAAGACTTAGTACAATGGTCGCTTATAAGCGTCGAAAGTGTAGTTCCAAGTGTCGTAAGAAGCTTGGTCAAAGACACAATCCTGGGTAGTACCATTGTTAATCCAGAGAGGACGAAGAGGCCAAGCACAGATTTGAGCGTTCTTTCCTTTGTATTCACCAGCCAAGTGGGTGGCATTGAGGGTGACGGGAACCGTATCATTTTCCACCCACTCAATCAAAACCTGCAAGTTGGTTTGAGGGAAAGGACCATTCTCTTGTTCGCTGTTGATGGCACAGTGAGCGGCACCGGGAATCATGTACAAGCGGTACCATTCTTTCAAAGCTCCAGTACTCTCGTTGAACGATAGACCAGGATACATGATGCTGCGGACAGACTCATAGTAGTGAACTGAAGAAGCGGCGGGTACACTAGGATCTGATTCACCGTGGAAATGAAGGATTTTGCCTCCGTAGTTGTAGATACCAGTGAGATCCGGGTTGTTGGTCTGAAGTGAATCCTCATATCTGGTCCAACCTTGAACCATCCATTGCACCAAGGTATCATAGGTGACGTTATCCAAAGAAGAAAGGTTATCAAGGTCCTGCAATTCAAGGAACCTAGCGACCCATTCACCACCAGCTCCAGCAATGCTGAGTTCGTAGGAATTGGTATCGGAATTGTAGGTTGTTGCTGCATCTTCGAAATCGGCAGATGGCTGATACGAGAGATAGGCACGTCGGCCTTGAGAATCATGTAACCCATCGAGAATGGTTTGCGCAACCTCTACTACCTTGGCTGATATAGTACCGTTTGTAGCTGGATTGGTAGACCCTCCCATCATTTGCCTCTTGCGTTTACCAAAACCAAGGCCAAGGCCAACAGCGGAGCTAGCAGCACAACTGTAAGGTAAACCGATAGTTTGGTTGATATTGTAATGAAGCTTGCAAAGATCTGTTCGAGACACCACACCATCAACCTTGCCATCGAGGCCATCGCAGTTAGAGATGGTTTCGTTAACAATTAGTTCAAGCTCGCATGCTGATGGGTAATAATCAAGTGTTTGCTCGACAACGTTTGAGAAGAGATGATTGACTTGCTGTTGGCCATATCGGAAAGCTGGTGCACCGGCAATAATGCCGTCGTAAATATCACCCCAGCGTTAAGCTTGACTCCATCCCTCACGACCACCATCGGAACAACCTTGATAATAAGCGTAGAGCTTATTATCGCCCATGTTGTAAAACTGCTTAGTAAACTCTTTTCCAAGCGTGGTCAACTCGCCAATGGCTTGATAACCAAACATGTAGGTGGGCTCCCAGTTGATTGTACCATTATCGAGAAGGAATACGGAGTCGAATACAGTGTTAAATCCACCATCAGTGAGACCAGATGCAGCACCATACATAACACCTCCGACAAGGTTAGTAGTACCCGAATTGATGCTGTAAGCCATTCCTCCAGATGAGAGCCATCTGTTCTCGAAGTTCTCTGGGGCTGGCAACCAAAGTGTTAGAACCACATTGTCCCCACGACCGTTGTGGGTATAGGCGAAGGTTACGTTGCAGAAATTGACAGTAGCATCGGGGAAAAAAGTTTGTCCGCTGACAGAAGTGTTGTAGACAACGTTTGCTGTAACCGATGATGGGATGACAGAACTCCCGAATAATGTACCGTCCGCGGGTAGAGCCGCTTTAGCGACGGCTGTTGTACAGATGTCGGTCAGAGATTCTGCAGAAGCGGTGGCAGCAGCGGCTGCGAGTCCGAAAAGTGACTTGCGCATTTTAAAGAGAGAAAAGTCCAATGTGGAATATCCAAATGGATGAAAGTAAAGATTGTGTCGAGCTTCTAGCTATCGAGAAAAGAATGTAGATGTAATGAGAGGAAAGCTAGATCTCTTGCTGAAGCTATTCCTTTGGTTCAAACGAAAGTCTTTATACTTCATTAAAGATGCCATTAAGGTCAACGAACCGGATCTTAGCAGGGGCATTATGTCTAGCGAAGACTCTTCTTTTCACCGTAAAGTGAAGCAACGCATTGTAATACGTATGCTTCATTAAAGAGACAAATAAAAATACACTAGATGAATGGTAAATGCCATCAAAATTGATGAGTAGGAACAAATCCAGACTATAATGATGACCCCTATGACGAAGCTTTTCGTCAGCTATAGATACACCTGGGCGACAAGTCTACTATCTACATGCTACTCGCAATCTTCAAGGATACTATTGCGCGCTAGACTAAGGTCTGAGTGGGCATTAATCTATAGTCCACTTCTTGCATATGACATTCTCAATCGGAAAGTCTAACAGCGCCCTCAAAAAAGTCTAATCAACCTTGGAACCCCTTTCTGACCTGGGTACCTCTATCTTAGGTTAAAGCTGTCATGTGGGTGATCTCCGTGATTTAAAGCAAGCTTAGTTCAAAGAACCTATTAAGATCTTTATTCTTAATATGAAACCTTAGACACATGTTGAATAGTATTTTTATCTCTATAGCGTAACACGCGAGAAGCTTCCTTCCTTCAAGAAAAGAACTACTTCAGTTGTGCGACTCCTTGTCTTGAATTTCTTGGAGACCAACATCTCTAATATCAACTAGACCTGTAATAGTTAAGTTAAACAAAAGCTCTTCTCGAATTTATCTTTATACTAAGTCAGATATATAAACTCGAGCAAGCAAAACCACCCAATTTATAAAGTTTTATAAAATCGTTCAATGACTTATTCGATTGATGATTGATTAATGAACAAATTCTTAGTAAAAACCAGACAACGACTTGATTCCTCAAACTATTGTTTGGACTCATGAATCGGTGTCAAACGCACCCTGCTCGCTGTCGCTAGGTCACGTGTATGAAGATCTCGCGTACATAACCAGCACATAAAAGTTCTCTGAGGACCGAGTTCTGCGAACTACAATTGTCCCGATCTGCACATTTATCTATGTCAGGTCTTCACATAGCCCATCCACATTTAACTCCCCGAATTAAAACTGAATCCAGCGAGCCATTGTCATTTCTCATGGGCTACTACAAATTTGTGTACGCGGTGTATCGCGGATTAGTGTTTTCGATGGGTGGTCAATCACTACCTCCCCGAAAACCCCAACCCAAACCGTTATTAGTGGGGTTTCAAATCCGACCAGCTCGTCAAAACATTGGCGCCAATAATCGCATTTAGATTGGCATCAACGCTTAATTATGGGATAGGGATTGACCAGTGCCGTCTCTAGCAATGCAGATATAACGCCGCACTTACGTTCGTCTATTGTTGAGGTATATCGCCAAGGAAAAATCCATACTACGGAGGTTCTGTGGCATACTAGTGAACGCCACAGCCCCCAGTCACTCACTCTCATGTGACCAATCACGAAGCAAAATCTCGGAGCTCTTATAATGTCCGTAGCGTGTTTGTGTATTTTGTTATAAGTTGATTATTTGTCTATCCATTTCTCTAAAAATAAGCCTTCCCAATATGGTAATATGGTATGCTCTCGAGCTACCAGCAAATTTGAAGGACCAGTCGCACATATCAATTTGAATCTCTCCTATGCAAAGATATTCAATTGAATGACTTGAGTTGATACTGCCAAGTTTGAAAGTATTAACGACTTGCGGTACATCAGAATTTAAGCAATTCTCAGAATTTCCAACTATCGAGTGAAGGTACTACTCTGCAGACTCTATTTGTTCAGCAATGGTTCTCAGCCATCTTTCAACTTTGTACAGTGATGTTATATACGAATTATGATATCAGAGGGTATTAGGGTGACTTAGGAGAACATGGGAGAAGGTGAATCACGCATATTTCACATGTGAGGAACAAAACTCGCTACTAGTTATCATTTACGACTTGTAGCAGTATAAACGCGAAACGAACTGTGTATTTTAAGTCCTTAAAACATGTTGTCATCAGATGAACTATATGCAGTAAGTTGGCAACGAGAGCTTGTAGCTGTTTGGGGTTTCTTGCCGATTCCCGGTTGAACTTTCAATACTTCAAGCTATCTTTCATTATTCCCTTCGGAATCCTAATAGGATATGGAGTAGTTCTTCTGAGCATCTTTTCTACTATATCCCTTCTCGAGACCTGTAGATTGTCGAGCGAAAATTTAGAGCTGTATAGAGATCTTGAAGAACTAATGCGCGGTTTTCCTGTCTTGAAGCCTAAGAAGGTATTCAATTCAGGTGTCAATGGTATCTAGATGGAGATAAGAGAGATCACAGTGTTATTCTTCACTTGAAAATTGAAGGTCGCTGCATCTGGCAAGGTACATGTATAGTCTAGTTGTTGCTTTTGACATCCACAAGACTCACTCTTTCCTCTTAAGTTTCTCCCCCATCAACAACTTTTTAACACTTTCTCGTAGCTGTGCTTTTCTCACAGAAGGAGAACACTAATCTTTAAATACTCTTATCTCAATCTCATGTTATGTAGGTTTACAGCATATACATACAAGAGTGAAATGGAATATTATCACACAACTGGGAATCTACATACTCGTATTCTGATACTAATAATGAACAATATTTTCCCTCACCATTTGGTATGATCCACTTCATCGAATAAATACGATATCACTCAATATAGTACACCCAGTTTCTATATCCACATTCCAACAAAATTATTCACATAAAATCCATCCACAATCCCGAGTTGAAGTTATCGGGTCGAGACAGCTCCCCACCACAAAAAACCGGCGCACGTACCATCCCCACCTCGCCTAACATCCACCACCAAAAAAATCCCCACCATCCCCGTCCAACCTCAAAAATTCATCAAAAAAGAATTCAAAAAGATAGATGGAATCAAACCATCATTGTTTTCAATCCAAGACGACGTCTTTGGCGGTGCTGGGAATCGAACCCAGATTGAAACGGATCATTCGTGAGATATCCTGTAAGGGATGAGCCACAACGTCACGTGCTACCATTACACCACACCACCTGCTGAGAGGCTGTTTTTGATATCTGGGGTGGAGAATTTTGGGTATATGAATACAAAAAGTTGTTGGTGGGGTAGGGAAAATCAAGCGAGAGGTATGGCGGCTCGGCGGGAGGGGAATTGGTGCTAGAGAGAGATGTGGGGTAGACTTTGATACTGAGATTGACACCTGATAACCTCATATGAACCTTTTAGAATCTTTTCAATACTTCAACTCCAACTCAATAGTTAAACGCTTTGAATGTTCCCGTTGAGATTGGACAATCGGTTCTTCTAATACTCCAGATGAGATCGAACAATTACATTCTTCTAATATTCCAGTCCAGATTGAATGATTATACTGTTTAGACTTTCAATAAAAGTTAAACAATTACGTTCTTATAATCTCCTAGTTCAGATTGAATATACAAATGGTTAGGGATCTATTATAGCGTATAATTCAATCACATTCTATCACTGGATGTCATACACTCATTATCATCACTTATGACTGCCATATCTCTAGCTCAGATTTACCAACCGTTATCCGCTTTGGTTTCACAATATCTCACAGATCTACTCCAGGAGTATTGAACCCTCCAAGTCTACATCGGCCTCATCCTCTTCCAAATCCTCCGACTCGTCCTCGATAATAATCTTGCGTCTACTTCTCCTGCCCATGCGCTTCTTATTTCCTTCTCCGGCTTCCTCTTGCTCTTCCTCTTCCGCTCCGTCTTTCTTCCTCTTGCTCTTCCTCTTCCGCCCGTCTTTCATCCTCTTCCTCTTCCGCTCGTCTTTCATCCTCTTCCTCTTCCGCTCCGTCTTCCATCCTCTTGCATTCTCCTATCTTCTCATTTCGAACCTTGTCCGATTTTCCAGACGCTTCTTGGTTTTCACTCCCCATATCCTTAATTTGATGATATATATTCTTGAAATACCCATGTATGCCTATGCAACCTTTTCCTCATCCCAACTTTCTAAAAGCTCCTTCAAATTGTTTTCGCTCTCATCGGCTTCTTCGAATGTTGCCATCAAGTAATCTCTCAACTTCAGACTCCACTCTCTGTAATTCTTTCTGTTCTGTTTCTCTGCCATAATTTCCAGGGCTTCTACGATCATCTCCTGTCGTGCCTGCAACACATCTGCTATAACATTGAATTGATTGTACAGCATCGATAAATATCTTGGGCTTCTTCTGATATAGGTGGGATCGAGGGCTGGTGTGATATAAGTGGACTCAGGCATTCTTTCGGATCAAGATTATGGATAACATTTAAGAACGAAACCGGACCTAGGAGGTTTATAAATAATTGATCTTCATTGCATAGATGAGATATAAAAAGTAACCTTTTGTTAGATACTGGATTTACTCAAATATGTGAGAGGGATGTATGTGAGAGAGATGTATTCGAGAGAGAAGGCGCCTTTTTACTGTAGGTAGTAACCCATCGCCCCACATCAAAAAGTGCAGCTTCAAAATGGGAAGGAACCTCTTTCCATCTGAGGGGATGTAAAATGAAATTTGCTTAGGTACCTAGTAATTCTTTCAACGTATATAAAATAATTTACCAATGATATCCAGCCGACTATAGCTCTATTGTATTCCGAAATAACTCATGTAATATTTCCTCAAACTCATCAATAATTTGAATTTTTTATTATTTATTGTGTATCTTATTTGATCTATGGATGGTGAGCACTTTAACACCGGGATGTGTTTGTGATTGAATATTTGAAGTGATGGTGAATGTTATTCTGAGGTCAGAATGAGGTGTGGATAAAAGCTTTCATTGATTTGAGATAGTCTCTCTATGCTACGAGATGAAATCTTGATGTGGAAGATCTCGGTATGTTTTGTCTCGTTGAGTGTATGTTTCCCCCGGATTCTTGACCTACAATAGTAATATGTAGTGGCTTCGACTGAGTGCAATATATCTTGAATAGATGGATATCCACACGCCACTTGTTGACCTCTCTTCTCCTAACTTATTATTTCACAGAGCATTTTGAGTAACTTCCAAGCGAGGCATTGTGTATAACCGTTGCCTTGTTTCCACCCATACCTGGTTGTGGTTTGTACAATGATATTGTCCTACCAAGGCCAGAAAAGACTGCCAGATATTGATTGTCGTTCTGGCAAGCAGTGTTGTGTTTGTTGTTGATTTGTCGTGTTTTGTATGTGTTTGGAGTAGAAAACTACTGATGCTGTCATCCAAGCAGTAAACTTGAGATTTATCGAATAAATTCGAGTTGTTTGTTTGTCAATCTTCTGTTCCCTGGTTCCCTTTTCTGTCTGTATCAATGAGTTAGTACAACTTCTGAGCAATCATGACTGTCTCGTATTTGTTTTTTGACTGTTTGATCATCTGGGAATATCTATATATTCTGTATTTACTTGCTGTATTTTCCTTTGACTGTTTAATCATCTGTCAATATAAATATATTCTTATTTACCTACTTACTGTATTTGAGTATCTGTCTTGGTCTCATCTACTCAAAAGATTGTTCTTCCTCCATTCAAAAGCATTTTGTGATTTTCACCTTTCCTCTCTTCCATTTCGAAGAGGTTGTTTTGTCGACAAGTGAGAATAATGCATTGTATTAATGTTAAGACTTGTTCAAAACAGAACATTAACAAACCAAATGGCTTGTTCCGAGTTAGTTGTATAAAGGTAGTCATCTCAACATACACGAGGACTATGGTTAGCTCAAATTGTTATGTCAACATTCAATTTACGCGTCAAATTAAATATTGTTGTCGGGTACAGCAACCTCGAACTCTTCAACTCTCCGACAACCATCACAAAGGACAACAAAAAGAAGCTTGACGCATAGCTAAATAGCTTGATATTACCGCAGATTGTCTCATCTCTCTTTCTAAATATTGGAACTTCTCTTTTATCCCGCCAGCTATCATCCAACGGGCACTTTCGTGCTCACAACCTAAATTCACGTCGTCATCTCATTCGGATTTTTATCAGCTCCGTGGCGCAATACTACCAACGTCCACTGTCATCATATTTCTCCTCGCACAATGTCTGCCCATATCCCAGTGGGTACGATAGATTATAACCTCTGGTTTAAAGACCAACAATACGGCCCGGGAGCCTATCCCACCGTCGATACCCTGACTTTTCTTTGCCGTCAGGATGCAGAAATCTACAATGCGAAGATACGGTGTGAGTAAACCTCTGATATGATATCCAATCCTTCAAGACAAAACGCTAATCAGCCATTTTACAGTTCAAGAAGAGACCATGAGAGTTCACGAGACCATTGCACCAACGACAGCAACAGCCTACGATATCACGGATCTCAGTCGCCACGTCTTCGGCTATTGGGAAATGATGCTTGATATAGCAAAAGCGGATCCTGTTTGGGCGGCCAGTTACGGAGGCATTAATACGCCGCGCTCCTTTAATAGTAGTTGGAGTCGCGCAAAGCAGCATATCAGGGAGCTTATAATTAAGAACCAACGTGCCGCAGATCAGGCTGCTGCCGATGCTACTGATAGTGCTGACGAGGTTGATGATGAAGGGGAAGAGGAGAGTGACGAAGAAAGTGATGAAGAAAGTGACGAAGAAAGTGTTGGCAGCGTTATCGTTGTCGATTACAACAATGATGGGGAAGAGAGTAACGACGAAGGAATCGATGTGGATAACGAAGGAGAAGATAGCGACGAAGAAATGGATGGCAGCAGTGTCATCGTTGTAGAGTATAGCGATGATGATGAAGAGAGCTACGACGTTAACATGGATCAAGGATACGAAGAAGAAGAAGAGGAAGAAGAAGATAGCGATGGGGAATTGGTGGGTTTTTGGTGGGATCATACGAGGGATACTTGTGGTTTGATATTTAGTCTCGATTCCTCTTCTTTATAGTCGTTTTGAAATTCTTACAAAAAGCAAATATATACCATTCGAAACTCGGGATTGACTACTTGCTGAATCGTGTTATCGATTGCCAACTTGAATTGCCAGATCTATAGAGCATTCTTTCCGAGGAAAAATAGGTGCGTGCGCCTCGACGATGGTTGTTAACTTGAAAGAACAAGATTAGACGATAGTCTACCGCTATTGGCATTGAGTAGAGATATTGTAGAGCTGTACAACCTTTAGCTGAGAGGATTGCGCTTTTATTTTCATATCAGAGTTATAAATTAATAGTTCTTTGTCCTAAAGGTGCTCTTTCCTCAAATTTGAGCTTCTAAATTTGAGAGACAGACGGTAGCTTATAATGTAGGGAGCTCGCTAAAGAAGCTAAAGACTACCGAAAACTTTAATAAAATGATACGAAATATCTCTAATCCAACATCAGAATACTTTCTCAATGATTTTACACTTCACTATTGGTGGCTCTGATGAATGAACATGTCAGACCTCGGTCGTTCCTCTAAATGATCGGGTTGAAATAATCAGACGACGTTCTTTTTCTTTCAAATCTTGAGAGGGACAATGAACTTGCGTTTCTCTGAACTATTACAGTAGCAGTCGATTAACTACTTAATATTGCTATTAAGATGGATTTTACATCTTCGTATCTTAAGTAGAAATTAATAACCAACCATTGATTTTTGGACGGTGTTTACCAGATCGACATTTGATTCGAAAAATTACAATCGGCCAATCCTACAAAAAGCTCAACGCTCTTCCACCTCCACGTCAGATAGGAATTTCCTATCTCCATAGGGTTGAAGCGAATTACTTCGTTTGTGTAAGATATAAGAAAAGTCCGGACTTGGACAATCCTTTCGTGCGTTATCTTCCTATCGTACACATCGGTCTCTTTATACTTATGCAATAATTCACAAAGTATTATGGAAAGTAGAATAATGGATTGAACCAATTGTCGAAATAGAGAGCCCGAGCGACCACCTTTGTGTATGTACCGCAAAATGATGCTAGTGCTCTCTTCCATAATTGACTGCAGTGAAAGTGGTGTTGCTTCATATAGAAAGAATGAATCTTACAATAAAGGTATGTTTTCGCTCTACAACGACGTCTATTTGGGCAACAAGATTTAGGTCCCTTTCGACCTTGAATCGAACCACAACTTCGAACTCTGACAATCATCATTAGACTTCCTTGATTCTCTGTCTACTTTCAAGGGAGGTCACTGACATCCTTGTATCATGGTTTCCTGCCGTGCGTACTGCAGTCTGACAATGAGGGGATTATATCTCAAAATTCAACTTGAACATTAAATGGGTTAATCGCTGAACGCAATGGGATCGATCATTCAAAAACCATGCTAGCGCTATACTAAATGACAGTGAAATAGGTCTAGTTACATATTAACTTCCCCCAACAATCTACCATAAAAATGAGGCAGAAGTCGATTTCATAATAGGTGACGACAAAGTGAATGCTGCTCGCCACAAAAGTGGTATGACGACAAAACAGGCACAAGCGAAGAAATACATTCAAAAAAAATCCAATCAGAATACTAAACACTCATTACAGTAAAATAAACCCTTCCTGAGTGGTCACAAAAAACAATCAGAAGAGGGGCTGTGGATCCTGCCCCTCTGCGGGTCTCGCACTTGACAACTACCAATCCAATATGCGCAATCCAATCTATTTTCCTACATGAACTCCACATCTCATGAGTGGACCCTCAAACAATAAATATATATCAAATTAATAGTTATTCATTCAACAATAGTAACTGCCAGGGGCTGTAACTCAGTGGTAGAGTGCCTCGTTTGCATTGTCAGATATCTACAAAGATACATCTGATAAGTTTCGATGAAGTCCAGGGTTCGACTCCCTGCCGCTCCAATAACACTTTGCATTTCTGCTTTCTTTTTGTCTTCAAAATTGAGAAAGTTGTTGAGACTTTTTGTAGACTGAAAACTTTTGATTTCACTTTCGAGTGAAGCGAATGGGTAAAGGGGTCGTGGCTTTCGATTGGAAAGGAAGGAAGGATCGATTTCTTTTCTGGACATGAGTCCTGCTCTATCTAATTCCTTGGTTGTCTTCTAGCGTCCATCGATTGGTACATGATGTGTACGAAGTATTCCGAAGCCCCGGAATAATATCCCCACGGAACGGTTCGGAGTATCATTCTACCGTACTATTTCTAACCACGGATATTTGAATTGTCTTGTTTCTTTTGTGGTTCCATTTCATGGATTTATTGCAAAAGAATTTTCATGGTTGTGCGTGGGGTTGGCGGGGGATGTTTCGGAGATAGGATCATAAAGATGGAACGCAAAGATAAAAAAGCGCTCAATTGAAGTTTCATCGACAGGTGTATATACCGACATTGAGGAAGTAGTCACTGGAAGAAATAGCATAAACAGTGGTAGGTAGGCTTACTATACATATCTTGAAAAATTGATTGACATTGAGGTACTCATCCGGACGCTGCAATGTTTCATGATCAGGCCGATTGTTAAAAAGGTATGCACATGACAAAGGCCCCACGAGAAATGATCCAAAGAAAAGGAATGACATCAATACAGATAGTTGTCGTGTGTCAGTCTACATGAGTGGGATGTACAGTAGTATACGGAGTACAGTACCGGTAGTTTTCCTCAACAAGAACGTTCAATAAATTACAGGCAAATGATTCCAAACTAGGTATGCTATAAACTAAACAGGAGACTCATGAGCCAATTGATCCCGCCAGAGTCAAAAATCAACACAAAATCCTTTTTACCAGCCAGTCTGAGGTTGACGACTGGGAGAACCTGAACATTTAGATGACCATGAACATTGAGGAAAACGGTGAAAATTCAAAGAGCATCAAATTAGAATTAGAAATATATTATTTTCAACCTGACAAGCTTTTACCTGCCCATCCAGCCACCATCCACCGTAAGAATATCTCCAGAGATATATGCACTTCCCTTGCTTGCCAAGAAAACAACACTCGCCTTAAAATCATCTGGGGAACCCCATCGACCCGCCGGTATTCTTTCGCTAATACTTCTCAATCGTTCTGGGTTGGCCAACAAGGCAGTATTCATCTCCGTCTCGATATATCCCGGAGCAATGGCATTGACATTTATTCCTTTCGATGCCCATTCGTTCGATAGAGCTTTGGTAAGCTGTCCCACCGCACCTTTCGATGCGGCATATGCTGGAACAGTAAGACCACCTTGGAAGGTAAGAAGACTCGCAAAATTGATGATGCTACCTCTTCGGCCAGTAATGGCTGATGGTTCGAGCTTCAACATGTGTGCACCAACATCGCGACAGAGGGTAAAGACAGTATTGAGGTTGACTTGGATGACCTAAACATGATAACTATTAGCACAATCCATCTTCTCAAATTGTGGAAAATAAGATGCTCACCTCATTCCAGTCATTATCCGGAAACTCGTGGCTCGGATGGCGTCTTTGAATTCCAGCACAATTTACCAAGATATGTATCGAGTGGCCATCTTTCAGGATGGTAGAAGTGATGCCGGCGACTTCTTCCTGCGATGCAAGGTCCGCGGTATATATGGGAGCTTTCCTGCCCAGCGCCTCGACAGCTTTCTGAGTCTCGAGATTCTCACGACTACGCTGTGTGAAATCTTTCGTCAGTACGTACGTACGCACGATACAGTTGGAATCCGGTGTAAAGAGAGCTGATTACCTGTATCAAGATTAAATCTGCTCCTGCTTCAGCAAGTGCTATGCAAACAGCTTGTCCAATGCCTCGAGTACCACCAGTAACGAGTGCGGTTTGACCTTCCAAAGAGAAATACGCTGATAAAGCTGTGGCTGCCATTGTATTAATTTTGTACCCGAAGGTGGTATTCCGTGAAGCCTCACATGGTCTGACAGTTGGGGATTAATACTTAGTACTTAAGTTCGTATATCGATTGAACAATTAAGTAATTTGCTCTTGTGCTCCCACTCTCCACTCCGGTTTGCGGCATGAGATGTTAAAACGTGGGGGTAGCTCTCCGATTTTCTCCACAGTGGGGTTGGTAACACCGTCATAACCTGTTTGTTGATTTGTCGGCATAAAAGAAGTCATTTTAGTACAAAGACTAGCCAATGCACTTAATTACTGTAAAATGTCACTCAAGTACACATTTTGATTTTGGAATGAAATCAGGATTATCATCATACAATATCTTCTACAAAAAAGTACTCAACATCATGGCATCTACTAATAACATCGAAAGTGGTGAGCAAAGAGAAGTGAAAGCTTCCGTGCTTCATGGCGCCAAAGATTTGAAAGTTGTAAGTTAGGTGTTCTCAAGTAATTTCTTTGCAAAAGTTAAGAATACGATGGCTGACATTCGAAAAGGAAACTCGTACTCTAAGTGTACCTGAACCAACAGAGGTACAAGTCGCCGTGCAAGCTACTGGTCTCTGCGGATCTGATATACATTACTATAATCATTATAGAAATGGAGATATTATCGTCCGGGAGCCTATGACTCTTGGACATGAATCTGCTGGAATTGTTACTGCTATTGGCTCCGAAGTCAGTAATCTGAAAGTTGGAGACCGCGTTGCGTTAGAAGTTGGACTTCCTTGCAAGACTTGTGATTTATGTGTAAATGGAAGATACAATATCTGCAAAGAAATGAAGTTTAGAAGTTCAGCGAAAGCATTCCCACATTTCCAAGGAACTCTGCAAGAACGGATTAATCATCCTGCAGCATATTGTCATTTGTAGGTATTGATTCTGTGTTGTTTTCTGCCACGTGCTCACTGGGGTAGATTACCTGCAAATGTATCTCTGGAGCTCGGTGCCGTGCTCGAACCTCTCAGTGTCGCAATCCACGGTACAAGACGAGCTGCTTTGCCAAGGGGCAAGACGGTGCTCATCTTCGGTGCCGGAGCAGTGGGCCTTTTGTGCGCGGCAATGTGCAAAGTTACCGGTGCCAAGAATGTTGTTATAGCAGATATACAGCCCGACCGATTAGATTTTGCAGTTCAGAACAATTTCGCAGATGCCAAGCTTCTGGTTCCAACGACCAGACCTGAGACAATTGAGGATAAGTTGACTTTTGCGAAAGAGGTCGCCGAATTGATCAAGAAAGCATCTGGAGAAGGGGATATTGATGCAGTGTTTGAATGTACGGGTGTTGAATCATGCCTCCAGGCTTCGATATATGTGAGTCAAAAGATGTTTTATGGGATGGGAAGATTGATGCTAACGCTCGTCAGGCAACTAAACCAGGCGGAAAGATAATGCTAATTGGAATGGGAACGCCCATACAAACATTACCAATTTCTGCAGCTGCTCTACGAGAAGTTGATCTCGTCGGTGTTTTCAGATATGCAAACACTTATGCAGATGCCATCAAACTTGTCGCGAGCAAAGATCCTTTGCTCCCTGATCTCTCAAAGTTAATCACGCAGAGGTACAAGGGATTCGAGAGTATTCCGGAAGCATTTGCAATGGCTGGTAAAGTCAGGGATGAGAATGGTAGCTTGGTTTTGAAAGTTCTCGTTGACACCACTGAGTCATAAAAGGATGTATTCTATCTGGAGCCATTCCTTACCCATGGCCAGATAATACACCTTGCTTAATGCACCTTTCCAAAGATCGATGATAGCGAGGATTTAGAGTAAGTCTTGATGTGCTGGTGGAGTTCAATTTTCTGGTATAGAGTTAGAAGAATTTAATTAATCATATCTTGTGAGCTATGTTGAAAGTTAGAGGGTCATTTTGGTCGACGACGGCTTTAGATCACATCTGGGACTTGATTTAATGGAAATGATTTATTCGATAGATCAGTTTTGATGTTGAAGTTTAATCAAATAATCTACAAAAGTTTCGTGGCTCAAGTGTGGACAAGTCTGTGACTGCGTTTGATTTTATCTAGCGGTAGGAAGCCAGAGAACGTTCCCCTCTGGAGAATCTCGACCCAGCTCACTAAAGCATGGATTTCCCCTTCTAATCAATAATGCAAAAAGATTCCAGCTTCACCAGCAAAGCGGACTTGCTTTTGCACAAGACCTTTGAGAAAGAATTGCTTATGACGGATCAATATCACAGCATCGGAGAATAAAAAGAGAGAGAATGACATACCCTACATGATCTGAAAGCAGAGGTCGACTTCACAAATTATGAAATAAAAATAGAGATATGGCTTAGCTAGATGCATGTAGATAGAAAGATTACCAGAATGTATCTTGGGACGATATATCTATGCTGTTAATATCACTAGTAGGTCATGTGCACCTCCGAGTAAGACATATGAGCGGAGAGTGCAGCATATACGGCAATGGGCCGAAGTAGGGTCAGCGAGGCTTGAATATTGCTCCTCTTATGCTAAATTATCATTCCCAGTTGACAATTCGTGGTCTGACACGAACATGATTCAACGAATATTCCGATAGTGTCAACTTGCTGAAACAGTATAGAATCGATCAGTTGTTTGTCAATCCCACGCTGAGATGGTGGACATGTGGAACCGGCTCGGACCTACCGATTATCTGGGGAAGGGAAACTCCCCGTACTGAATTCCGAAGTATGATGTAGTAAATGGAAAATGGTAGAAAGTGGAAAACTGGGTGGAAATGGGCATTCATCATAGTGATGCTTGGAAAGAGTAAACAAGAAACTGCCATTGAGCCATGAAGTAATAGAATCATTCATCAACAACGCCTTGCATCATCTTTCGAGTGAATCTTTGCATCTTTACCAGTATTTATGTTATTCATAGGAATAAGGACTCTGTAGCGGCAAACCTTCTTGTTCGATGTCAATAGTGCAAAGGATTGTCGTCACAAGCCAAGACCGAAAGATCATCTCATCGGCAATACTTTCTCATGCCTCTTGACCATTCTGCCAAGCTCGGCTTTGGATTCGGGGTCGATTCACTAGGTATGAGACGCATATTGGTGGTTGGGTAATTGATATTCTAGACTTCTGGACTATCATGTTGTAACACGTCAGAATGATGCGTAATGAATCCAGTTAGACGGGCTTTGATAAGAATTATCAAGAACTAACCCACAATTCTTCCACAATTCTCCCACAATTCTCATATTGTAAACGGAGGATTTTCCTGGCATCGTGAGAGCATGTGATAATAACGTTCACTTGGGGTAAAACTCTAAAGTAGAACAAAGTTGCCAAGAACGACGGATATGGATAAGGGCATCATCCATTGTCGATTCCCGGTCCCACAACGGACAGACGGTAACTGCCAATTCGGTAGTTGAGAGAAGAAAGTAGAGATAAGACAGAAGTAAGAATTTCAGAAATTACCACTTTATCAACCGATCTAGTAATTTTTCTATTTCCATCGCACAATACTCCCCACATATATCTCCGCATGGACCGCTGATCATTTGACCTTGGAAGATCTAGGGGACCGGCAAAAAGTCCGAGGAATTACTCCCTCTGCACCCAATTAAGCAATTTTCCTTAATATTGACAACTGATCATCAACAAGATCTATAAATCTGTAACCCCAGTTTCCACATTTCCCTGCCAATCCCCCTCACCCCCCTCATACCCCCACGCACTACCTAGGTAGTTTCTTTGCCATGACCCGAAGAAATGTTTATTCCCCTTTCTAATGGAACTCAATACATAGTTAACATCTTGGCAATGATGATCCAGGTACCTAGGTATGATATCGTAATAGCTCCCATTTAAAAGGTCGGGAGAAGTATAAGTACCTAGGTACCTACAGCACATTCAACAGATTTTTTCTAGTGTTTGGAATCCCAAAAATCACTCCAGAAGACCTCATAATTTTTAATCGTCTACCTTCCTCTACTTACTTCACCATTATTGAACATGTCTTCAGTAGTTGCAGTCAGGGGACAAGAGGTCAAGTCTTCAATTGCACGAGCCGAGGAGCAGCATACTACCCCCTTTCAAAATGGAGTAGATATGCAAGCACTGGAGAGAATCTCCGACAAAATCGACGAGCTCAACGTCATCAAAGCCGATATGAAAAAGCCTGGCGCTGAGAAAGATAAGACGCTATTTCGAAGATATGATGGGTCGCAAGACCATGTTATAATCTTTTACACAGAGTATGAATCTGCCATTTTCCTTTTCAGCATATGCAGATCGTATATACTAACCCTGTAATAGACAACATCTAAAACAAACTGTGGAATACAATATCACAGCTCGCCAAGTATTCGCCAATAGAGAACCGGGTAGAATGTCAGTAATGGACGCTGCGAAGCTTCTCGATAAATTTGTTGATCAATCAGACCCTGATACTCAGGTTGGTCAACTGGAGCACCTTTTTCAGACATCCGAGGCGGCAAGACTGGCTGGACGGCCCGATTGGTACGTCGTGACTGGTTTTGTTCATGACCTGGGCAAACTATGGTGCCTCATGGGTGGCCAAGGACAGTGGGATACTGTCGGAGATACCTTCATAGTAGGCGCTGAATACTCGAAGCGGATCGAATTATATGAGAGTCTCAAAGACAACCCGGACTTCAATGATCCTCGCTACAACACCAAATATGGTATCTACTCTCCAGGTTGTGGATTAGACAATGTCATGATGTCATGGGGTCATGATGAATTTCTTTACCAGGTTCTCAAAGACCAATCTACTCTCCCACCTGAGGCCTTGGCAATGATCCGCTATCATTCGTTCTACCCATGGCATCGTGAGAATGAATATTCACATTTCGAGAATGATCATGACCGAGCGATGAAGCCATGGGTACAGGATTTCAACCAGTTTGATCTTTACAGCAAGAGTGATAGCCCTCCTGATGTTGAAAAGCTTACTGTAAGACCAACTTCAATTGCACATCAATATCTAAGCTAATTCTTGATAGCCAATGTACGAGAAAATGATAGCCAAGTATTTTCCTGCTGAGGTCAACTTTGGAAAACTTTTACAGCGACCAACGAGCAGCAGCAGCAACAGTAATTGAGCGAAAGTGCTTGAGGTATGACCACCTATGTACAACGCCGATAATCAAGCTAACTCTTCGCAGCTATATTACTTCGACATGATGAGGAATGACCTTCACGCTTTACGAAATGATGAAAACTTTCGATACAAATAGCGGGCGAAATATCATAGGTAAATTTTTGGATTAGGCAGGTGGTTTTTTGCACTGCATAGATTTGAACGGCGATTTAAAAGGAATTAAGAAATTACTTGGGTATCATTCCCGGCTACATGAATCTGAACTGTGACTTGATTCGAAATGTGAGGTTTGAATGTTTGGTATCTTTATAGTGTAATGATGAGAGGGGTGTTATGTCAATATGAGCATGTGATCCATGGTCCTCTGTCCAGCCTAGGGAATCAAATCACATGATATCGACAGAACCATGCTCTAGGTACGTACCTACCTAGTAGGTAGGTAGTCCACGGGTCGAAATAATAAGAGGCGGGAAATAAGAGGCTGGAATTGAGTACCCTTTTGAAGGACTTCTCTAATGAATTATAACTTCACTTCAAATTGAATAATAGAGTTTGAGAAGACCACACGAAAATTTGAGCTTTCTTTCAATTGATAATCAGGACTATATATATTTAATATAATTTTGAAATGGGATTCAAATTATTGAAGTCGTTTTAGGCAGTATTGATTTTCCGTCTCTTATTTCGGTCACGTAGAGACAGGTTGACAGCTGAGTCGAAAGGGAACAATACTGCCTCCATTAATCACCGATATGTCCACGTCTCAACAGCCGCCTGAGAATCAAGCCCTCCGCCTCCTTGCCCTGGACGGTGGCGGTGTGAAAGGCCTCACTTCCTTACTGATCCTTCGCCGGTTGATGTTGCAGCTGAAGAGAGATGCTACAGATCCGGACGAACCTGTACCGCGGCCATGCGACGTCTTCGACCTCATCGGGGGCACTTCGACAGGAGGCCTTATCGCCATCATGCTCGGCCGATTAGGCATGACCGTTGACGAGTGTATAGAGACATACAAGAAATTTGGCAAGACGGTGTTTGGGAAAAAGAAGGCATTTGGCATAGCAAGGACAATGTTCAGTGGGAGCATGTACGAGACCGAGGATCTTCAGACTGCTATCAAAACTTTGGTAGCAGAACGTCTTAAACAAGAGGAGGCCCCCTCCAGAGCAGATACTGACAATACGAGGGCTGCGAACACGATTGCTGCTCCTCGAGGAGATCAGGCCGTACAGGCATCTTCCTCATCGTCCGGAGAAGGGGCTCAAGATCCAGAGGATGCCCCGCTCAATGATATTCGCGTGAAGGGCGTTACGGGAAATTGTCGAATGCAAGTCTCATTTTCATTTTCGTCTTCAAATCTAGGCTGACCTATCAAGGTTTGTTTGCGCAACACGAAACAAGACCTTCAATTACGAACTCATCCGAAATTATACTAGTGGAAAGCCGGACCAGGTTGACTACGATTGCACAATCTGGGAGGCTGGATCTGCGACTGCCGCTGCTCCTATGTTTTTTGGTCCTGTCACATTCCAAAAGTCCAAAGCAAAGTTCTCCGATGGAGGTACCACAATCAATTGTCCTCTTCCTGAAGTTGTCAATGAAGCTAGGCGTTTGTGGAACAGTCCCCAGTTTGCATGTATTGTTAGCCTTGGAACAGGATGGCCTGCTAACACGAAGGTCAAATCGGGGCTGCTGGGTTTCCTAGGACAGACTGTCAAAGTTCTCACTGATGCTCAGAAGAAGTATGAAGAATGGGTACGTGGCAATCGAGACGACCTCAATATCAAAGAGAGTTACTTTAGATTCAATGTTGAGCAGGGGATGGACCAGCTCAAATTGGATGAATGGGCAGAGACGGAGGAAATGACAGCGCTGACAGATTCCTACCTCGGCCAAGATAAGCATATGAATGAGGTCGAGCGCTGCGTGAAACTGCTGCGGATCACCGATTCTGTAAATGAAAGCGCACAGAGTTAGTCTCACGTTATCTTAAAGTTCTACTATGGTCACTAAGTCGCTTAGTTGCTGTGCGCGAAAGTCGACAGCGGAGAATCTTGGACCAACTCCGTTTTCGCGAAATACACGCCCGTCACGAAGAGATAAGACTGGCCCATCGAGAAACTTTCGAATGGCTTTTTCACGAAACACAGCCAGGGGAGACATTTTGGACAAACTTCATGGAATGGTTGCAAAATGACAACAGCATATATTGGATCAATGGGAAAGCCGGATCCGGTAAATCAACTCTCATGAAATTCATCAACGACGACCCACGACTCATGAAAGCGCTGAGAATGTCTCCCTGGGCCGATGGTCGCCCGGTCATCAAAGCGTCCTTCTATTTCTGGTACAATGGAACATCGATGCAAAAAAGCCGGAAAGAACTTATGCAATCCCTCTTACTCCAAATTTTGGAGCTCCAGCCGCATCTAATATCTATTATATTCCACGAAGTTTTCGCGCTTTCAGATAATGATTTCGATTTCGAGAAGTTTTCTACCGAAGCGGAATTGATGCGGGCTCTTAGGGAAACCCTAGATCAGCCTGAACGGACATCAAATTTCATCTTTCTGATTGATGGGCTGGACGAATATTATGCCTCCGAGCAAGAAATGGTTACCCTCACTGATCTCTTTCAATCTTTGGCGGCTCTACCTCGCGTCAAGTTTGTGCTGTCAAGTAGGCCGCTGCCCGCCTACTCCCAAGCTTTTCAAGCAGGAGCCAGTCTTGAGCTTCGTATGCTGACGAAGTTGGATATAGAGAAATATGTTTCTGACAAGCTCAAAGATCGTCTTTCTCAAGCTTATGGAGAACGAGAGTTTTATCGCATATAAAATCTGATTGACTACATTTTAGAGCATGCGAAAGGGGTTTTTCGATGGGTCGATCTTGTCATGGAGGCTATTCTCGAAGGGATTCGTCACTGCAACACGCTTTATGAACTGCAAGAGGAAGTGAAGAGGCTTCCTCCGGACCTCATACCCTTCTACGGGCACATGTGGAACGGCATCAAGCCGGAGTACCGCATCGAAGCCTCGCAATTGTTCCAGCTTGTGCAGAAAGCCATGATGTATAATAATAAAGAACAACACAATCGGGGTTACGAACAATCACATAGAGCCGTGACTCTATTCCTCGCCACGACCGAAGACCCTGACCAACAGGTCTTTGCTCGTCCGATTCTGCCACTCACTACCACTCGGAAAGCTGACCTGGCGAAGTTGATGGAAGGCAGGTTACGAAGTAGGTGTATGGGGCTCCTCGACTTCCATCGTGCTGAATCTGAGACAAATGTTCCCGATGAACTCAAATTGGCCGATGCAACAGTTCAGCTTGCGAATAGATCGGTGTCCGAATTTCTGGAGATCCGAACAGACATTCTTGCATGCACGGAAAGGACCGGGTTTGACGCTAGGGTTAGCCTGATGAGATCCTTCGTGCGGCAGATCGAAGCCTGGGAACCTGAAACTCCCAATGATTCTGACTATCACACGTCCCATGGTCGCCGGTCCATATGGAATTTGGTGGGCAATACCATGCGTCTTGCATATCAGGCAGGAACGTCTCTGAGCGAGCTTGAAGTAACTTTACTTGATCATATGGACAGTGTGGTCCAAGCTCGCTGCCAGACCTATATCAACGACCACTGGGACGTCGTTTCAAAACATTCTGGACTGAACAAAAAGTGCAGAGCGAAGCACTGGTCTGATTTCGTTCCCGAAGACTACCAGAGACCTGTTCCATGGCATGACAGTTTCTTGAGTTTGGCAGTAAGGCATGGAGCAATTGGCTATGTTCAACAAAGTCTGATGAAAGCTGATTTTTTACGGGTGCCTAAGCCTACTGGCGGATTTCTGGATCGTTTCATGTACAGCTTGGCACCTTTTCGAGCCAACATCAATCAGCTCTCCAAACCTGGACGCCCTCTCCTCGACTATGCAGTCATACCAGAGCCTGCTTATCCACTATGTACCAACGCCATAAACCCAGACCTGGTTGAGCTTTTGCTGGATTATGGTGCAAATCCCAATGAGGCGTTCAATGGCTCGACTCCATGGCAGAATGCTCTTGACACTGTCAAGAATGGCCAAGCTGGCTGTTTCCAAGATTGGGCCAAGATTTTAGAGCTTCTTATTGTGCGTGGCGCTGATCCTAATGCGTACTGCAAATCGTGGAAGAAAACGGGAAAAGGAACCGGTGTAACAATGCGATACTCAGCATTGAACATCGTACATACCGGTTTTTTTAGAGAATACGATCATCTAAAAGAGGTCCAAGATCTTCGTCAAAGGTTATCAGACCTTTTGTGTCAAAGAGGAGCTCGAGACTTCAAGCTGAATTTGACGTGAGAGTAGGATGAAAAAAGAGTGAGTATCAGAGAAAGAGTAGTATGGTCTAATAAAATAGCTTGTTGACCATGGGATTAAATTTTAGTTAAGGAGTGCGACCCCAAGTAATCGAATAGTAGCCACTTTAATCCTCAATAGAGTCTTCTATCCCAGGCAGCATTCCTTATATAAGATCTCAGAGTTGTTCACACACATTCTTGTGTGCCCACATTAAGATCTATAATCCACGAATCTGCGCCCAGTTAAAAGGCCATCTCTGGTTATTCGCTCGCTCCTCTATAACACTCGTGTGGAGTGCCGCTGCGATGCCTCTACTCTCAAGACAAAATACGCCTTGTTCCACAAACGACGTATAAAAGCTGCGAGTGACCTCAACGCACACTCGATCTACTAATAGCTACAAGCATTCGATTACATGTGGAAAGCCTGCCACTTGAAAGCCATTAACGAGGTGAATTGCTTCGTCAGCTAAGCTGGCAGCTTTATTCTCGGCTATCGAGGAGGTAGAAAGGTAGGCTATTGAGCATACTGTATATTGATCTACGAGAGATCATGCACGGTCGGGACGTTCTATATAGTGCGCCCAAATTATTCTTTCCGCTGTAGTATTAGCCCACTACTCGAAGGATCAATCTCGTTTGTCCGGCCATGGCAGGCAAAGTGTGCAATTTCGCACTTCTCCATACTGTGGATAACCGCTGCTACACTGGGTTACTCGATTCGTTTCACGGTGGTGAAGTGTTGTAGGATTTCTATAACACTCAATTTCTCGTCAAGAGCCCCAGAAAGACGGTTTAGACTGGGTTCTATGCCTGGAGTTATCGGCATCTTGACAATCAGAGCTTTTAGTTGTAAATCCTTATCGACAGAATAATGGTTTCTTGAGTGAGAGAGAGCCCTAATGGATGATATTTACGATGAGTTGACGTGGGTGAAGTTTCGCTCTAACTTAATCTGGAGAATGTCGGAAAACAGGAAATTTCCGACAAAGTATATAAGATTATAACGTCGCAGTCATACGTTTATACGGCTGTACTACTTCATTATACTATATAACCTATCATTCCTATATATTACTATCTTCTCACCGTATTACTAATTCGGAAATTAGCTCGTTATACTCAGGAAGAAATCCTTTATAATAGTCGGCTCTCATAAACGGCCGACTAGTTCCTAGTCGGGGAAAGCGAGTGTCCCCGTGAGATTTTGGGTGCGAAATACACCAAAACCATTCAATTTTATTAGAAATCTAGTTTCATTTTTAATATACAACCTTTAATTTTTGAATAATTTTTGAAGTTTTTATATAATTATATTTAATAAGATTACAGCTTTCTAATAATATTAGATTTATTTGAATTGCTTCAAAATTCATAATATTATTTATAAAATTCAGATATTTTTTAATAAAAATCATAAAATCTATATTAAAATCTCATAGGGACAATTTGCTTTCCGGGGATATTTGCTTTCCCCGATTAGGAACTAGTCGGTCGTTTATAAGAGCCGACTATTAAACCAAGACGAGCTAGAAAGTTAAAATCGCGAGAGCTTAGCGCTAAATCAAGCGAGTTGATTAATTGCCTATGAAGGCAATCTCGTCTCAACTATGAAAGTGCGTAACTTCTTTTTCTTTTTCTGAGACGAATAGATTTCACCGAAACTAGGATATTAGTTTATTTGATTTAATCGCAACAGTTGCCTCGTATACGTTTTTACGTTGATCTATAGCTAATCAAATTTTCAAAGAAAATATGATTTATAGGGTTTCTTTGAGTTTATAAAGTGAGGATTTTCTAGTTACTTTTCTATTTCCTAACGGGTAGCTTTTTATTCCAATTTCTGAGATGATTAGTATAAAGATCAATATAAATTCAAATATGGATTACTTTTAAGCTTCAAAATGAATTGGGAATAGTTTCAAAATTAAGCGAAGACAAATTCAATTTTTTTCTGCAAATAATTCATAGATTATTCACTATTTATTAAACAGGTTATTTACGAATATGGAAACAATCTATAGTAAATATGTTTGTGATTTGTCTATGTGTGTTTTTGAATTGCCTACCACCTCGATAGATAATCCGTAGATTATCTGATTATCTGTCGAGCTTATTATCCACCCCACGGGTATCCGTTGCGCAGCCTACGCAGAGTATTTTCTTAGGAAAGCTTTAAAGGCATGATCTGTTGCTAGCTTAATCCAGCTTCAAATGCCTTGTCGAATATATGCGATTACCTCTTCGCAAAGCAGTACATAATGTTTGTCCGTCCGATAAACCAAAGAAACCCTACAAATCTGATAATCGACAACAAAGCGGTGGCATAGAGGAGAAATCGGAAGTAGATTGGTGTCCGGGTCGTAGAGGCTTCCTGCAAGAAAGAGTTAGATTTTTGTTATAGGAGTCATCATCAGGTCTCGTTACTCACACCAACGCCAAGGAATGCGAAATCATCAGAGGTAACGATCCAGACCACCAGCATATTCGACAGGATCCAGGAGACGACCAGACGGGTCCTAAACGATTTATACGTGTCATCGACTTCTTTTGTTTCTACGACAACCTCCACTGCAACAGGAGACAGAGTTCTTAGCACGGTCTCCTGAAACTTCTGATCGATATCTACTTGTTGCATCTCCTCTTCCTCGACCATCTCGTGACCGGACTTCAAGTCTTTGATCACGTTAGCCGAGGGGAGCTTTTCGCTTTGATCTGAACCCTTCGTGCCCCAAGAAACATCGTGCCAGTTATTGAAGGCATAAACCATCAAAATATTAATATATGTCGAAGCGAGGATGATATACTGCGGGAAGGAGTGAAACATATGCCAGGGGTCTAAGTAGAGGAACGAGGCAAGATAGTTCAAGCCGTAAATGGTGATCAAGGCAAGTAGAATCACGCCGGCGACTCCAGTTCCTCCAAACATGCTCTCAAAGAATGCCGCGCCCGAAGAGGTGTCGATCTGGTCCCCAATGGGTGTCCGTAACGCCCGATAGACCAGATAGAATGACAGAATGATGACGTAAAGCTGAATAAATCCAAATACTACAAACGATACAAGATAGGTCACTTGCGATCCCTTTGGCCGATTTCCAAGGGCTACAATGAATTGTATGATCACAAACGCAAGGTAAATATATTGAATAATATGGTTGAATATGGGGGATGCAGTATCACCAAACGGCCAGCCGTGATATTCTGATGCAACTACAGGTGTACCGACAAGATCCATGATGACAGTGGTAGTGAGCCAATAGGATGATAAGGAAAACCAACTAAACACAACATTGGCAATGTTGTATAGCAGCTGGAAATGAAAAATTATCATCCGGATCAGACTATGCCCGGATTTGTACATGCGACCGAAATGAATAAGCGAGTATAACGAGGCAGCAAATGATCCATTCAGCCAGCGGCGGCGCTGGCTGAGAAACTCAGCAGGGCCTTCGGGCACGTCTGTCTCACCCTTGGCAGCTTTGACATAAGAGAGGTGCCAGTTTTGTCCTTCTTTCACAACTAGCTCGAAACAAAGAATACGATCTTCTGCAAGAAACATATTCTTTTTAAATATATTCATGTTGTTGATGCTTTTCTTGCCAGATAATAATGTATGATCGCCATGAAAATATTGCTCTAAGGGACGGCCCATGATCGCTCGAAAGCGATATGCTGAAAATGCGCCGGGGAGAACAGTGACGTAGCCGAAGGAGCTCTCGAGGGGTTTATCAAGAACATTCGAAATCTTATATTCAAAATTCTGTACCGCCACAAGCGGATTTAATAACTTGGAGTTTCGAGGACCAAGCATAGCGTGGATCTCACCACATGCGCCACCAAGGTTCTTGTCGTTATAGAATGCCTCCCATAAGGCTAATAGAGAGCGAGGACCAGGTTTTGTTCCTGCATCGATCAAAATAGTGACTTCCGGATTGAGAATCCGTCCAAAAGCATTGAACAACCAACGATGCGAGTTGATCTTTTTGGTATTCTTTTGTTTGAGACAAAAGAGGAGCTGCACTGGGGGCAAGTTATCAGAATCATCCGCATTTGGACTGGGACGAGCGAGCTGTAGGTCGGGGGTGATGGACAACTGTGTCGTGAACTCGAAGACATGGGCTGTTGTTTCCTTTCCATCCACATCCTGCTTTAGCACTCCGTCTTGATACACCCCAACAGTTGTAAGAAGATCGAGCACACCTGCATCCGCCTTTTCGAAACCATCGAACACTAGGCACACTACAATTTTCTCCCATGCTGCTGAACCCTGCGTCCAAAACCTGGACTTCTTCAGATTCACAATATCGCGAACGTTCTCCATCACACCATGCAAGGTTCTAGCGAAGAGTATCTTGTCTTCATTATAGTAGGTGATCGCAATCAAAAGCTCGGTGTGCCGGTTGTAAATGTGCGGGCGTAGTGTATAACCGTTCATCAAGGTGAAATCGTTGGGATCACAAGTCACCGCGGTGTAACGCATCTCCGAGAACTCGTTGGTGCCATTCTCCACATCTATGTACTGGGGCTGCACTGCGTTCTTGATTGCACTTGGTACGGGATAGTTTGCGCTCAAGACTGATCCTTGGCCGCCTTGGATCAGTTTAATCTTTCGAGTAGCGCGGCGCCGGAGAGCTCCATGAGTACCGATAGCAGACGGCATTTCTTGCGCAACAAAGGAGTCGTTGGGGTTTGTGTAAAAATTCTGGTCGTCGTCGCCTGGAAGATTGCGTTGATCCCCGAAAAAATCCTCGCCGTTCGCTGGTCTGGTTGGTGAATTTTGATACCGCACCTGGCCAGTGCCAGTCACATAAGGTGCTTCTGGATTGTAACCACTATGACCTGACAGCAAACTTTCACCAACATCATGAGCATCATTTGATTGATGTACATCACTTATATGATCAGTGTTAGTTAACTGTGTAGCAGGATCAGTAACAGACTGTTCAAAAGTTTATTAGCAAATGTATTTTGATCAACTCTTTGAGTCGTGGGCTTACGTTG